TTCATTCTATAAAGGTATGAAGTTTGTCAATACTTCAACAAACATTTCTTTATTTATGGTGTACACTACTTTATTTTTATTCGCCGACATGCTACTCTTTTTATAAAAAAAACTTGCGTGACTAATAGACTCGATCTTCAGGCCTGTAGGAAAGTAATTTCCGAAAGAGTAATAAACTAACAGGGATTTTATTTTTACTAGCATACATGTACCTTACCAGATTTCTTAACGAAAAAAAAAACATTAAAAGAAATACAGGGCGGGACCAGCTAAAGCTATATGCATAAGTACAGCCCTGCACATCAACGAGTATAGATGAATTTCGACATCTTTCCCATGACTTCACTTATACCAATCACGACTAAAATATTGAATTAAAATACTGTTATATTTCCTGTCTTTGATGAGATGTTAGTTTTGTTCCACCTAGAGATATAACTCTCCTAAGAAAAAGGTTTTCAACATTCTGATTCATCTAACAATTTTACGTGTTAAAATGATGTGGGAATTTTTTTTAGCTAAAGGCCAAGGAGTTTAAACATGTTAAAGTACAATGTATATGTAGCAATTAGAGAAAAGTCTAGCAGGTCCACCAGTAATATTGATTGCAGGCTCAAAATCTAATTAAACCCCGAAATGGAGGGAGTTCGATTTGTAATTTAATCCCCCCCCCAAAAAATAACACAACAATTTATTAGCAATGAATTAAACACCGAACTTTTCAATCATCACTATTGAAATTAAAAAACTGTTCTTGATAATCATATTATAATTGTAGCTTATTTTCATGCCTTTTAGGATTCCTGTGGAAAGTTCACAATAAAAAAAATGTGCTTTTAAAAATTTAACATCTTTTGGTGTGAAATTATAAATTCATAATCATACATGTAACAGTTAAAAGAAGCGGGGAGAGGTGTGTGTGTGTGTGGGGAGGGGGGGGGGCTACTTTCAGCAAGGACGGCCACTACCAACAACCAAGCCCCGAAACCCATATCCCGAAGGCAAATAAGTTGAGGTGTCAAGCAAGAAACAATTTTTTTTTCTGCTCTTGCCTCATGTATTTAACCGCTTTTTTTTCTAAATATACTAGGCCTACACATCATATCGGCAAAAATATCTAGGAGCCCCTCTTTTTATTCCATGAAAAGGGGAAAACTTAATTAAATTCTAATATAAGATCTCATAATCGCACTTAATCATAGTGAATGTAAACAGATTATATTTCCCATCCTGCATCGCTCTGTAGGCGCTTTATTTCATTGGTCAATTTACCGAGGCGCCATTTTTGGAGGATCGAGAAGGACGAAGAAGAAGGTGTAAGCAGCTGGTAAATGTGAAAAGTTAAGATGGTTTCACCACCCAGTGTCTTTAAGACTGTGATAAATGCAATGGCCAACGATGAAGGATTAGTGTACGTATATTTTTGTTAACTTTTTACGGTAAATAGTTGTAATATTTGGCAACAACAAATCTTCACTATCGGAGGCAACTTTTGTTTTGACGCCATTTTGAAAAGTTGGATACCTAAGTTTTAAATTGTTAAGTGTATATATTGCAGAAAGAAAGAGAGAGAGAGAGAGAGAGAAATTTGAGACGTTGATATAGCATAACTTATATTATGAAGGCACCGTGCATGTGCATGCTGTATGTTGTAAAATTACAACGTTTCGCCTTTTATCATGTTTATTAAAATGTATGCTCCATGTGTATGTTCTCTCTATATATATAAATGAATAGGAAGGATAGGAATTCATATGGAGGGGGAATCATGATATATGTCTCTAACTCTCTAAAAGTTACTCGACGGGAAGATTTAGAACCACGAAGCATAGAGAGTATTTGGATCGAAATTGAACAACCAAACAATAATTTATTCATTTGTTGTGTTTATCGTCCACCAAACTCGAGCAATGATTTTTGGGGGAAATTTTCATGGTCCATTGAAAGAATAAGTGATATGTCAAACAAAATTATAATACTTGGGGATCTTAATGTAGATTTTCTTCAAATAAATCCAAACCATGAAATTTATAATATCATGAACATGGCTGGGCTTTTAAACGTAATAAACGAACCTACGAGAGTAACACAAGTTACAAAAACTCTGATAGACCCTATTATTATTAGTCGTGAAATATTTATGTTCGATTCAGGTACATTAATGGTTGACACAAATATCAGTGACCACAAAGCTACGTATATATATGTGAAACAAAATTACTGTAACAATTCTTCGTACAAACGTAAAGTATGGAGCTATAAAGAAGCAAATTTAGAAGAACTTAATATTTTAATAAACAACTTTGATTGGGAAAGCATTATTTCAAAATCAACTGATATTGAAACCGCAACAACAAACTTTACACAACAATTTATGCTAATTATACACAAATGTATACCCGAAAAAACTGTTACAATAAGACCAAACGACAAACCATGGATGGATTCATTATTAAGAACAGCTATACGACTTAGGAATAGATTAAGAAAAAAAGCACAGAAAACCAAGAAAGAATCAGATAAAGAAGAATTTCGGAAAGCTAGAAATAAAGTAAATAATATGAAAAAATATGCCAGAGGAAATTACTACGACAACATTGATTCTCATTTAAACGACGCAAATAAAAATAATAACAAGTTGTACTGGAAATTACTAAAAGATGTCTTTCACACTAAAACTTCATCCGAAATACCCCCTATTAAACAGTTGAATGAGAATGGTGATCCTGTATACGCATTTTCCGATAAAGAGAAAATTGAATTACTAAATAACTTTTTTACATCCATCTCTGATATAAAAGATGAAGAATATGAGCTACCTGATTTTGAGTCCAAAAATGAAGAAAAATTTTGTGACGTAAATATCCAAGAAAGCGAGATTATTGATATTATTTCTATCCTGCCCGTAAATAAAGCTGTGGGCCCTGATTGTATCAGCCACAAAATGTTAAAATCTTGTAAAGAATCCATAGCTAAGCCACTTTGTCTGTTATTTAATGAATCTCTTAGACTCAAAGTTTATCCTGAAAGTTGGAAACTAGCACATGTCCTTCCATTATTTAAAAAAGATGACCCATCAGTCACTTCAAATTATACACCTGTATCTCTTTTGAGTTGTGTGAGTAAAATATTTGAGAGAGTTGTATTCAAACATGTATATAATTTTTTTCACACAAATAATTTGTTCTACAAATATCAGGCAGGTTTTCTGCCTGGTCACTCAACTGTGTACCAACTTTTAGAAACATATCATACTATTGTAAAAAGTATTGATGAAGGGCAACATTGTTGTATGGTTTTTTGTGATTTATCAAAAGCTTTTGATAGGGTTTGGCATAGGGGTTTGATTTATAAATTAAAAATGTATGGTATCTCCGGTAATATGTTAGAATGGTTGGAAAGTTACTTGTACAATAGAAAACAAAAAGTTATGTATAAAAATTTATTTTCTTCTGTGAAAAATGTGCATGCTGGGGTACCCCAGGGCTCTGTCCTTGGCCCTCTTTTATTTTTGATATATGTGAATGATGTAGCCGAAAACATGATAACTGTTTGCAGACTATTTGCAGACGATAATTCTTTACAAAAAAGCTCGAGTGACGTGCGTCTCATTGAACATCATCTAAATCATGACTTAAAAATTCTGGATGAATGGTCCAAAAAATGGTTATTGAAATTTAATCCAAGTAAAACAAAAGTATTATTTTTCAGCTTAAAAAATACAAACCAGTTACCTGAATTATTTTTTGAAGACTGTCAGTTAGAATATGTATCACAACATAAACATCTAGGTGTTATTTTCTCAACTAAATTAGGTTGGTCAGATTACATTGATAGTATTGTCAGTAAAGGCTACAAAAAACTAGGACTTCTCAAAAAACTTAAATTTTCAGTGTCTAAAGATACTTTATCCAAACTTTACACTTCCTTTATTCGACCACAACTTGAGTATGCATCTGAAGTTTGGTCAGGCTGTTCGCTGGCAGATATTGATAAACTTGAAAAGCTTCAACTGACAGCCGCAAGAATAGTGACTGGTCTTTCAGTATTAGCATCAAGAAATTCGTTGTATATTGAAACAGGTTGAGAACCTCTTATAATAAGAAGAGACAAAGCCAAACTTTTAACAATGTTTAAAATCCACAATAACCTAGCTCCTGATTACCTAAAAAACATTGTACCGATGGTTAGAAACACTGTTTCAAATTACAATACTCGAAATTCATTTGATTATTCTTTACCTAAATGCAGGCTTGAATTATACAACAAATCATTTGTCCCCGATACTGTACGCAAATGGAATTCACTGAGCAATGAAACAAGGGAAATAACCTCAATAGGAAGTTTTAAAAGAAAATTGAGTAATAATAAAGATAAGCCTCCCAAGTATTTTTCATATGGTAGAAGGTATCTGAACATTTTACATACAAAATTAAGACACAATTGTATTTTAAATAATGATCTGTATAGATGTAATATCATAAGTAATCCAAATTGTTCTTGTGGTATGAAGGAGGATAGTCATCATTTTTTCTTTGTTTGTAGAAAATATTTTGAACCTAGACGCTTAATGATGAATGCACTACTAGTAACTAATAATGTAAAAATGATTAATGTGCATAAATTACTATGGGGAGATGATTCCTTATCTTCGCAGGAAAATGAAAAAATATTCGGTATTGTTCAAAAATTTATTCAGGAATCAGGTCGTTTTAATCAACAATGAATTGTGTTATCTCTATTGAAATTATTATATTTTTATAATATCAACACTGTATTTATTATCACCATTATTAATAATTGATATTATTTCCTTATTCATAAAACAATTGTCTTTGTTCTTCTATGTAAATGTATATATTATTGTAAAATTTTGTTAATGTTGTATGGCTATTGAGATATTATGTATGGGAGAGGACTATCTAAGTTGCTAGAACTTGTGTCCGATCCCTTTGACATATTGTCAATAAAATATGTTCAAAACAAAACATAAATGAATACTTTTCGGAATTTAAAAAAAAATATTTTAAACCCCGCTCAAATTATCCGGATGATAATAGTTACACCGAACATGGTTTCGTAATTAAATTCAAACTGTAGAACATCCGGTTTGAATACCACATGTGTTTTCTGACTTTTGGGAGCCAACTCTTGTTTTTTTTGGAACTTACGACTTATGGCAAGGTATAAATTAAATATTTTTGGTTCAAAACTTTGATAAAAGCATCGATATTTTTACAAAAAGTGTCTTTAATCTCAGCTTATCCGATTATTCATGAAGGATATCCTCATCAGAACAGATTGTAGCGAATAGCATAACCCTTAATCATATGCATGACGATGATATGGAGGGAAAATATACATAAAAAAGTGAATGTAGGTGAAAGCCTGTCCTCTTTTCTGAAGAGATTAGGTTTGTTTTATTGTTTATTGAAATAGTTTACTGCTCAAAAGATTCTTTTTTGTAATGTCTAACCTGTTGAGATGAAGATGTAATAAAAGAAAATCCTAATAGTGAATTAATATTGATAGTATGTCATGAAATGCAAATGAATCATCAGCTTGAATTATCAGTTTTTTCACAATTATTGACCTGAGTAGGTCAATGTATAGCGAATAATACATACTCCTTTCCATATCGCATCCTAGCCCGAGACACCAATTTCAGCCAGAGGGACAGAGACCCTAGGGCTGATATTGGTCGAAGGTCTGATACAGGATGTGATGTGGAAAAAGGTATGTTTCATTATGTTTATTACAAACTTGGTAATAAAATACAGAACACTTCAAGTTGAGAAGATCAAGAAAATAAGTAAATAATCATGCACAATAAAACTACTTACATACATGTACACGGTATTGTCTTACTGAACAGATTTAGCTGTCATTAGGTCAAAATTGCAAATAATAACATGCTTCTTATATCAGTATATACAGGTAACTCTTGATGGCTTGAACTTCGATTTCTCGGAAGTTCTTGATCGCTTGAAGTGAGGCTCTTGTCCCGATTTTTTCCACTATATAACTAAGCAGATTTGCTCTTGATTTCTCGAACCCCTGATCTTTCAAAACCCTTGATCCCTCGAAGTCAAAATGCAGTCCCACTGTGCTGTGAATTTTACCCTAGATACCTCGAAGTGGCTGTGTGTATACCAAGTTATAATGTTCAAACTTTTGCCATAACTGTATATCTGTGTGTCTGTCTGAGTGTCTGTTGTCAACTTAAACCTTCACCATAACTTTAGAACTATACGTCGAGATAGTGGCTTCATATTTACTTTAGTATGCATACTCCACTAATGAAGTGCTTTCAAATGGCAACAAGGACAATGATTATGTGTCAGTGATCTTGACTGTGACCTGTATGCTAAAAAAATTGCTTTTTCGAACTTTGTTGCTGTGTTTAACAAGCACATCTTGTTTTGTTGGTCTCTGACCAGTAGAGCTTATGCGAAAGTAAAGCGTCCGGCGTCCGTCCGTCTGTCTGCAAACACTACTCCTTAAATTTTAGTCTGATTTCAATATAACTTGGCACACAAGTAGACTATACCAAGATACATAATTCTGTGCATCAGTTTTTGATAAGTACAAACCAGTAGAGCTACAGTCTCGACAGAGACTTCTGGTTATTTTTTCTTCCATCCCGGCTGTTGCTAATGCTATTACATAATTAGTTTTTAAAAATTAGAATGCAATAGTACCTGGACATAATTTATCATTTCAGAGAGAAGAAAACTGTGTAACTTTAAAAGAAAACCAGTGAGATAAAATCATAGAAAATGTATGATGATTCAGGATGTGGTCATTTGGTAAGTGGTACTTCATTCATGGTTCCTATGTATAGGACAATTGCCTGAAAAAAAAGATTCTAAATTTTATTTAAATACTGAACTGTGGTATATCAGCTGTGAGCTACAAGAAGTTTTATGTAAAAGCTAGGGCTGAAACAATTTGCCCCCTCCATGTTATGTGTGTATTGCTATGATTGACATACAATCAGTTCTCTAATACATACACTTCAATAAAACGAGGCACATACCATATGTTCTAAATGAAAAAAAAAGGCTCATTATGCACATGCTATATGAAATATGATAGATTTTTTTCTCTCCAAGGAATAATTTCTGCAAGTCACTAAGTTTTTAGGGTTTCCTTTATTTTAAAGATATTCAATGAAATTATTTGAAGAATTAAATTTTGGTAAATTTTATGATACTAAAAGGTTATATGGATGAAAAAAACAACATGCATGTATGACAATAGGGCTTAAATTTTAATGTCTCTTAATTTTTGAGTGACATTAAAACAGGAATTATCTTCACCAATAGACGAATTTCACATTCCTAAGAGTTTTTTCCAATTGTTGGCGTATCGCTCATTTTTTCCACTTTGTCCTTTGTAAGTTACTTGTTAATATTTTCAATCTTCAAAAATATTGGACAATTACAATCTGTATCTGTATTGGCAGAGTATGGGGGCAACATGAAAATCATAATGAATATGTTCATACTGATTTTATTTCTAAGATATTGTCCCTCAAAGTTGATACGGTTCAAGACGGAAAACAGGGTCTTAAGCTGGTTGACCCCAGATCGACCCTGCGAAGGGGAATAACTTTTGTAAATGTGAAAATCCTTTATGGTATATCATATAGATCTAAAACTGACTGAATTTTGATCAGCCAATTTATGAACATTATGAATGGATGTAAATAATGTTGGACAATATATGTAAAAAAAAAAATTAAATTACTTGTTTATATATACATTTGTGGTTTCTCTCCCATTGAAGTTTATAAACTTGTTATTTATTTCTTAAATAAACTGAGCGTACATGCAATACCGGTATAAAATTACTCATAAGATGCATGTATACTTAAACCATGATAAAATCATATGTGTCCAATGCAGCATATGATAAGTCATTAATATACAAGTACATGTGTTTCTATACCATGTATACTGTAATACATATATATTGCATTATTTTTAGGTCCTGTTCTGTGGATGCCCTAAGACAGTGTCTACCCATCACTCCATCTGATATCACTTGTTCTGAGCATATTTCTCTCTCAAACTTAAACTACAGAGAGCCTGTGGATAGTGGATGAAGAGTGACCTTGGACCAATTTTCTAGGTCAAAGGTCAGTATCAAAATCTACTGTATATCTTTATTTAAAAATCGTAGTCCAGAGTATATTTCTCCCCTGCCTGGTGTAATCTAGCTTTTGTGCAATGGGGTGGACTCCGTGGAGGGTCTGCAATGATCTTCAACCAATTTCTAGGTCGAATATCAAAATAAGAAAAAATCTCTCCCAAATATTTTTGTTATTATAAAGAGTATGTTTACTCTCAAACTAATCAAACTTAAAGCAGGGTTCTTAGTATGAGATACATGTAGTAATATATTCTCAATGACATAATAAGGCTGAAAACATTATTTATATTAGGCCTAAAATAAGATATTGTTTGTTTGCAGTTGCCGACCGACCCACTGAAAATGCACCCGACCCAAACTTTTTTTTAGCCATTTTGTAATATTTTTTTTCTCTCCAATTTTTCAGGATATTAAAACTGTTTCATTTTCAATTTTTTTCTTTATCAATCATACCAAGAGTGCAGCTTATTCATGTAAAGTAGGCCTATGAAAAACTTTATTTTATGTTATCTAACAAAGATCTGGAAATATTTTTTTTTCAAAAAAAAAAAAATTGCCTACCTACCTACTCAGACTAAAAATTATAGGTCGGCAACTGCAAACAAAGAATTTTTTAAGCTTGGCCTTATGTTATTTTTTTTTCACTTATCATAAAGCATTAAATATTAAAGAGATACATTAAATGCTGAAATCATATGTATCATGGTCATGGAAAGTAATTATTGATATTGGTATATTAAAGGACATTGACTGATCTTTCAGATTTCTAAGTTATATTCAAGCATTATAATTCTGACATCATATAATAATTTTGTATGAATATTGCAGATCAAAGGTGATGTGAAGAAATCCAGGAAACTGATGTTGAAAGAAGTACTTAATTACCCTTATGAATGGACTTAAATGTGAAAGACTGTTCCATTGTTTATCTAAGATATAAGGATTTATTTAATATTTTGATATCATTGAAAAATTCAGTTACAGTTTTTGTACATCAAATGAATTATTAAACATATAAAATGGTAATGCTTCTTTCTTTTACATGTAATAAATTTTTTTGATAGATTTTTAAAAGAATACACATTATTTCACATTGCTTCCTTTAGAAAAGTTAGGGAATCTTGAAGTTTCCCAGTAATTCCACCAGGAATGGGACTCCAGATAATTCCACCAAGTTTCTGCCACACAGAAAGTGTTACACAAGTTCCATATAGTTTCCCGAGTCAAGGAAACTGCAGGAATCATAAGGTTTCACGAGCTTCCATGTAGTTTCCCATAAAAGAAAACCTTAAGATTCCATCAAGTTTCCATTCCACGGAAACCACTACGCTCATATTCCATATGGTTTCCTGAGTCAAGGAAACTTTAGGAATCGTGAGGTTTCCCGTGCTTCCATGTAGTTTCCCGTATAAGGAAACCTAAAGATTCCATCAAGTTTCCATTCCACGGAAACTACTGCGCTCCGATTCCATATGGTTTCCTGAGTCGTGGAAACTTTAGGAATCGTGAGGTTTCCCGAGCTTCCATGTAGTTTCCCATAAAAGGAAACCTAAAGATTCCCCCAAGTTTCCATTCCACGGAAACCCCCTACGCTCCGATTCCATCAAGTTTCCTGATTCTGGAAACCAGTGGAATCTTCAGGTTTCCCATTACGGGAAACTACATGGATGTTCGGGAAACTTCAGGTTTACAGAGGTTTCCATGGTTCGGGATACCTTGGAATCGGAGCGTAGGGGGTTTCCGTGTCACGGAAACTTGACGGAATAACCTAGCATCCGCTACGGAAACCACTGGGAAACATGATGTAAACTTGAGGTTTCCATGTGGTTTCCATAAAGCTTCCCGTGATGGGAAACCACTTTTTTCACCCTGTGATCAGGCTCACACTTCACTGTCGGAATACTACTGGTCATTAGATGTCCACTGACATTAGACGAAGTTTTTAGGTCAAGGTTGAAACCCTTTACTACTACCTTATCTTTTCCTATACATTGCTGAAATCTAGGCCCAAGGAGATGGCCCCTTCTCAGTGATATACGAGTGTCATCATCGTGGTAATGCATAATTTTCTCCATAAGAATCGATTTGCTTTTCTCTGTAAATCTATGGAAGGAATTTCATTGCCCAATCCATGATAAGGACTTATTTTCTCTAGGCTTTGGCAATTTTTCAAATTATGCTTGTTAAAGTTTTCCAGAAACATATTCATGTCTTGATTGTAGTATTCTGCAGGTTGAAAACACATTTCCCACTTTTTTTTCTACAAAGGTAAAAATCTGTGAAAAGAAACTCTTCTATAAATGGTCTGACTTGACCTAACTTCCTTTAGTTACTAACCTTTTATATATTGATTAAAATAACTTTATGATTTGGTTTAAAGAGCTGATTATAATACGTTATTAATCTTGGTTTTAAGTTGTCTTTGGTGTGTGGCTGGCTTCTTCCGCCTCCAATATCTATGAACAAACAGTGAGTTGAAAGTCGGGGGTCTTCAAGACGTGTTCTTAAAAACGTAGGTCTCGGAAGGCGTTGGCACGATAAAGAACCTTCACTGCTTAATGGCCCTAAGTGCCGAGTATAGGTGTAAATATGAAGCGCATCACCGGCATAAGGTGACGTGTCTGTACGAGAGAAAAATTCGCGAATGTGATGTTAAACAATATCAATCTTCTTTCTCCAGTCTTATCTATGCAAGTCATATTTCCTACTCTACATACTAAGCTGACTCTTACGATTTCGTCGTATTTTTTATGGATTTTGAGTCCAAAATACGTCTCACATTCGGCTAAAATGAAAATACTGAAATCATTTCGTTCAGATTTTCACAGTTTTCGTTATGTTTTGATTCTGACGCTTTTTACTCGCTAAAATAAGAGATAGATTTCAAACACCTAACTGATGTTGGTTGGCCAAAATGCGTTAGTTTAAGGTTTCGTCAAAGGTCAACATGTTCAAAAAATTATTTTTACAATAGCCCCAAAACTATGTGAGGTATAAAGTTAAAACTTTTACAGTTTATAAATTTTTCATTGCTTAACAGATAGAAAGTATCACTTGATAAAAAAATACTTGGAAAAAATTTTAATTGAGAAAAATTCCTCTTAAAAATGCATATATTTTCAAAAAAATACACCTAATTAATTATGTGCTTTTAGTGAAAACAATCATTGCAGAAACAAAATATGTTTATCAATGAAGGGCAAGTTGGACTTGGATAGCTTCTGGAAAGTTGTTTTCCCTGTTTATTTTGTCCAAATGTTAAGACTTGAAAGTGAAAGTACATTGCAAATGGCGGATTCTGTAGGGGTCTTGTCTTTATACATGTCATGCTTTCAATAACAGCCTTTCAGAGACCATTCACGTTCAACTTGCCCTTCAATGATATACATATATTATTTCTGCAATGATGGTTTTCACATATAGGACAGAATTAAACAGGTGCATTTTTTAAAAAATATGCACATTTTCTGATACAATTTTTCTAAAAGAAAAATATTTTAAAAAATATTTGTTATGAAGTGATACTTTCTATGTATTAATCAATGATATATTTATGAACTGTAAATGTTTTGACCGTATACCACACATAGTTTTGGAGCTATTGTAAAAATAATCTTTTAGACATGTTGACCTTTGACGAAACCTTAAAAGATGACATAAATGGTAATCAGAAATGTAGTTGTTCTCTATTAATATCAGGGATGGGGTAATTGAATAAAGTAATTGTAATTGAGTGTAATTAATTACATTTTTCAAAGTAATTGGAAGTAATTTGTATTTGAGCGAGCCTTCAATTGCAAGTAATTGAATGTATTGAAATACATTTCACAAAAGGTCATGTATTTTCAATTACTTTTCAATTACATTTCAATTAATTTTTTTTTCAAAATGAAAGTTTATATTTAAAAAGGTGTTTTATACTGATACATAGTTTTATACTGGTGGGGTTATATTACTTATTCCCATGTTTTATAAATCTCAGTTCTCCCTTTTCCCACTTGCAAATAACAATGATTGTTTAGATAGTTAATTTGTTTTACAGCAATTAGACTAACTACATTCCCTTTTAGATTTACCTTTATTCTATTCATTTTAAGATAGAAAATAATGAATGGAATTGTGATAGATATTATTTATTTTCTTCAAAAATATGGTTTTGAGAAAGTAACAAAGAAGATCTTGCCATACACCATACTGGTGTAGCATGGGCTTGTGTTTGTACAATAATTAATTGTCCTATAATGTTTAATTTGTTTATACAGTGTGTCATACTCATTATAAGGTAAAGGTCTAATTTTGACAAGGTGTGAACCCCTATCATACCAAAGAACAAAAACACTGAATGAAAGTTTCCAATTCGATTGCTGTAGAAAAAAAATTATTTAAAAAAAAAATCTTTTTTTTTTTAATAAAAATAAAACTCGAAGTAATTGAAATGTATTTAATTACATTTGTCAAAGTAATTGAAAGTAATTAATTACATTTGAAAAAATCAATGTAATTGTAATTGCAAGTAATTGACAAAATTATCAATGTATTTGAAAGTAATTAATTACATTTAAAAGTAATTGACCCCAAGCCTGATTAATATATATGTAAAATGAATGGAAATTGAAATTTTACTGGGTAATGCCAAATTTCATTGACAAATCTAATTAATAATACTGAGAAACGGCAGTATGAGTTAAAAGCTCTGAGGAAGTTTATCGAAGGTCGGATAAATTTTAGACAAGTCTCCGGCATGAGGAAGTTGCTCCTATTGTGTAGGTGAAACGGTGTAGCAGAATTAAATGAAAAATCCTTGTTCGGAGCATATCTTCTCTCCCCTTGGTCTAATGAGGCTCATACTTCACTGTCGAAATACCACTGGTCATTAGATGTCCACTGACCTTAGACGAAGTTCCTAGGTCAAGGTTGAAACCCTTTATAAATACCTTATATTTTTCCTGTACATTGCTGAAAACGGCGCCTAAGAAGAAAACCCTTCTCAGTGATATCTAATTGAATGTTATCAGCGTGTGGAAATGAATAATTTTCTCATTAAGATTCGGTTTGCATATCTCTTTCAATCTATGGCAAAAATTTCATTGCCCAATCCATGATAATAAGGAGACTTTTATTTTCTTGAGGCTTTTGAAATTTTTCAATATACGCTCATTCGAAGTCTTTTCTTTAAACACTGAAAGTCGTGAATGAATTCTGCTCAGATTTCATTAATGGGACTGTGTCCATGGAAAATATTTTGCTCATGATCACCATTTACTGATGAAAAATTTACCCGGAATTCAAAGCTTTTTTCATGTAACTAAGAATAAGCAGACTAGCCACTTTTCCGCTTTTTGTTTTTATTCTTCTCCATTTTGTTACTGTCCTTCCGTCCGTCTCTTGTCCGGATCATATCTTCTCTCTCTCTTGGCCCAACCTGGCTCATACTTCACCCACAGAGTGTCTTTGGGCAACCGGTATGCAGTGACCATTGAACAATGTTTCTTGGTCAAAGGTCAAGTTCAAAGCAGAATTATACGAAAAATCCTTGTTCGGAGCATATAACACTGTGCCGGATAATTATGCCACTTCAAAAGTGGCATTTTGGCGCCCGCCAAATCCTCATTTCACATAAAAACCATGCATACCAAGTGGTAGACCGTCACGCACAGAGTTCATAACTACCTTTGTTACAGATAAATCTCACCTGTCAGGTGAGATAATCACCTTTGAAAAGAAAATTCCCATGGGAAAAATAAAGTTCCTAAAGGAAAAATAAAATTTCTGAGGGATATTATCGAAATCTTGCAGGATTTCTTAATTTCCTGCAGGATATTTAAAAATTCCTGCAGGACTATAATTTACCATGGGAGAATTTAATTTCCTAAGGGAATTTATTTTCCTAAAGGAGAAAAATAAATCCTATAGGAGAAATATATCCT